GTTCAGCTCGCCTTAAACCAAACAACAAATGGATAGAGTCTAGAAACTCTTCGCAGTGAGTTTCTCACACGCAGGGCCCGGCTTCGACTGTCGGGCGCGCTTGAGGCTAGCAGAACGGATGCTCAGTCCGTAGCTCAGAAGAAAGGGAAGTCTCTATGATGTATTTACCTAGCAGAACAGATGCTCAGTCCATACTGCAATACAGTCGGTGCCCTACAGTGTCCATAATGAGAGGATATATGCACGCTCAGAAGAAAGGGAAGTCTCTGAGCGTGCACAACAGGGAAAAGCGAGTAAATAAGGAAAGCGGCAGGTGCCTTAGCAACTGGTGAGTCAGGAACAAAATAACGAACGCGCTATCTAATAAAATACTGTCCAATAGGAATCTGAGTCATCCCGAGACATGTGCGTGCGAGCGCACGAGCCCAAAATCCAACATAGAGCCGAGCAAAGCACTACCTTCTCTCGTAGCCACCTCTTCACCCTCCAATGTGACATGCTCTCGAGCCACGCCGGATGCCCTTCGACATTTACTGCCGTAACTAATGCATGGTCACCGCCCCAGTCAGGCATCTATGGTGTGTTCCCCTCGTCTAGAGCCGGCTCTGGCAGATAAGCAGAAGATAAAGAAGAGAACCCTCGTGATCGAAAAAGTCAGAGAACAGGAGAGCATTGGAAGCGGTGCGATGGGAACAGCAAGGTTAAGCAAAGCAATGTTGCGAACAGAAAGAACGCTTCCGCTAGTCGCAACGGGCACTCGGATAACAACCATGGCTGTAAGGATGTTGCGCCTAAGCGCAGCAGGAAAAGCATACAGTAGCCGGTTCATCATCCCATAACACGCACATGTGGAGAATCGCGCCAATCTTATGCCCAAGGGTGGGCCGCTCCGATCAAGGAGGACGTGACAGATCCTATGTACCAACGTCCCGCCAGCTGCGTCCGCCCCGATTGCCGCTCCCCTTGGCCCAGCGCCAGTCGCTTCCGGTTGCCGCGCCAGTGCCCGTGGCCGTCATACCGATCGCACGGTCAGCTCAGGGTGCACTCGTCCTCGTACTGCCCCCACTCGCCCCCATCCATCTCCCACCAATCGTCCAAGCACTCGTGGATTTCCCAGCCGGCCATACGACATAGTGTTGCCTCAAATTACCACAGGCCAGATAGAGACGACGCAGATTCTCATGATGCGACTTGGTTTCAGTATGCTGCAGCAGCGCACGGTCAGCTTTCCGGTGCAATGCAGAGTTATGGTCTTGAACTGGTCGTGGAGTGCATTAAGTATTTGGGCGTTGTTTACTCATTCTTTGTTGCACACCACTGGACGAACATATTTGGGCTGATCTTGAGCGGGCTACTGGCAGCTGAGATAATATGGGCTCCTTTTACCGCGGGTGTCTTCATGGGAGATGTTTTCAGGACGAAGCTTTACGGTCCTGCGGTAGCGCCTTGGCGCTTGCGATCGAGTCCTAATATCACGTGACAACGAAGCGCCTGGAGGACCCCGAATTGGACTGTAGCGACTCCGGACGCTGTTCACCAATTCCACAGTGGCATTCTTGGTGCATAGCGCTCGCAGGCTCTCGAAGGCAAGCCAGGCTGCGCAGTATACAAGGTGTGTGAATTATACGCACGCTAGTACACATGACGAAGAACTGACTAGAGAAACCTGAGGATTGTGGTTGTGCGGCGCTGCGTGGGAGATCATGAAGGCCTCGCGGCGACGCTCAAGTTGCACAAGCAGACATCTTGCTTGACCAAAAATCTTTGCTGCACGGCCATCTGCGTATTTAAATATGTTTTAGAGCCTGCTCAAAAGCAAGATCCTCTTCAGACCTACACACTGCCGGCATCGCTCAGAAAGGCCCGCTCACAATCGAAACGAGTACTGAGTAGTGCCTTTTCGAGTCAGAGGTTGAATACTAGGGAGTGCGCGTCATGTTTAGCATCGTATTTACAAAGGTGTGTACATCATGTAGCCTTGATCTCCTGCTTATTTAGATCATCATCCGTGCTGGTACGATACTTTCACGCGGTAAACAATACCTACGGGAACAAGCGGAGCAGACAGTAAGGTTCATCTAGTCTTTGCATATAAAAATTCATCTTCGTAGAGACAAGATAGCTACAGCTCTCGAGGTGCCAAGCACTCTTCACCGAGATATGGCAACCTTCGGCCCTTCCATACCATTCCACGGTAACGCCCGTGAGCCTGACACCCGGAGGTATACTACCACCGTGACAGCTCGGCACATCGCCTAAGAATCTCGTGCGTCGCACCGTACCTGGAAAGAGCTGAGTAAACTCTCTCAGGGCTCGAACCTGAATTTTAACACACTGGCGCAGTCAGCTTCGGATACAGCCCGGAGGTTGTGCTCGCGGGGTAGGTGAAATGGACTGTGCCACCCTTTCAGTCTCAAGTTCACGGTTGCAGCAGGAGCCAATCATGTCTCTTCTAGCATGTTGTCGTGTACTTTGTGCGAAGTATGCCCCTCGAGCTCCATGCGCGGGCGCACGTGTAAGTGTAAGTTTAGCTTTCGGCGTTCACGATCCTTGCCTACCGACACCTAGGTCGCCTCGTCGCATTGAAGTTAACCTGTTGGGTTGCCGCACCAACAGTCCCGATGCCCCAGCCCTGCGGCTTTTACTATGAGGCAAGAAACGAGACGTGCCTAGGGTGGCTGAACTGTTGACATTGAGAATATTGTATATAATGTAAGAACAAGCCTTCTCCGACTACAGCCTCACAACTCAGCATGCCTTTCGCGCGCATAGACGAGAAGGGTACTATCTTCTACTACACCGACAGCGGCGTCCCACTTGGAGCGCCGGAATACACCACCGTCGTCCTCGTCCACGGGGCGACTATCAACGGTGGTACGTACGATCATTCTGTCCACCGCTCGTAGCTCTTCGTCTGACCCGGTCTGCCGACTCCAGGGATCTTCGAGCGCATGCTTCCGTACGCACCAAAGTACGGTCTGCGACTGATCGCCATGAACATGCGCGACTACGCCGGCTCGACCCCATACACGTCCGACGAGCTTGCCGCTTTCGCGAGCAGCGACATCGAAGTGCAGATATCAGCAGTGCGCAGCCTCGGATGCGAGCTCGCCGCGTTCCTTGTCTACGTCTGCCAGACGCTCGGCATCCCTGCGCGGACGGTGCGCGACGGGAAAGCGTATGGCGGCCTCGCCTTCCTGACCTGGTCGATGAGCACCATGGGATTACTATCTATCTTCGGGGACTCCATGACCCTGGACGAAGCGCAGAAGGCGGTACTGCAGCCGTACCTCCGCACGGCGTTTGCCTACGGTGTGTGCCATCTCGTCCCGTACATGCATTTCGAGATATCTGAGCGCCCAGCTCTACAGACCCACCAGCCCTTCTGTATGGCGTGGACCCTGACGTAGGGATGCTCACTCCCTTGAACGACCCGACCATTCCTGACGGAGATAAGGGCGCAGCGATCGGCGGCTGGGTGTCGGGCTACTACACCGCCGTGCCCGACATCGCGCATATCACCCCGGAGAACCTGCGCGCCCGCAGGGAAGAGCGGCCCCCAGCGCTGCACATGATGGCGCCGGATGAGTACGAGCGCATTGTCGAGCCGGACAACCTTCTCCGCTCGTGCGCCGCGATGCTACAAGTACCACAATCTGTCCGCACGAGCCATTTTCGCCGGACGTTTCTGGAAGCAGACACCGTGCTCCCGGACGTAAAAGTTGTTGCACTGTGGTGCGACCGCTCGGTCTGGATGTTGGTATGGTCGGCGAAGGTCCTGCATGAGCTTCTGCAGGAACAGTCTGGCCTCGGACAGCGAAAGCGAAATGCGTCTCTCATCAAGATTGGGAATGCGAATCATGTTGTGAGTGATATGTGAGAATGACGCAAGTCCTGCAGCTGATCGTGTTGACAGTACCAGTGGGATGATCCCGAACGTATGGTTCAAATTTTGCGTGAAAACATCTGAGTGAATTCAGCATTCGCTGGAGGCTACCATCTAGGATAGCTACCTACCGTGTAGAGATGACCTCGAGTCCCCTGCTCGTATAAGTTACGATAATATATGCCACTGCCCGCTTGGCACAGAACATAGTCCAGAACCTGGTGCAATAATCGGCGCCTGTTAATGCTTCGACGTTTTTCTCGTGACGTCCTTGAGCAAGAAGCAAAGTATGTACTTGCATGTGCGGCTGCTGCAGTGACACAGTTGGACATGGTACTGAAAAGGAGAGGCATGAGTGTTAGGTCGACGAGTGAAAGTACAGATGATACTTGCACTCGAGAGTAGGTTCGGATAATATGTGCTTGATTTGACTCACAGTCGATATGGGGAATCGAGCACGCAAGCTATACGGAAGGTAGGCCACCAATTGCGCTCAGCTTATAGCTTCGGGCTGGTGACTCGCCACTGGTGGTCGGCCATCTATCAAAATACATGATGTATCCAATTCCGCATGTGCGGCCTGTATCGATAGTGCTCCGTTGAGGATTTCTAACGGCTCAGAAAGCCCGGACCCTGAAGAGGCTGGCCCGCAGACCCAAGTGCGACTTGACCCCATTGCGAGCGAGCATCAGATGCAGTCCGAGACCGAGATGGACCCTATTAATTCGTGATCCGCCAACTTTTTGCGCCTCAGCACTCCAGGCTGTGTTCGCTTCCCATAGAACGCCATTCGCGAGGAGTAAAAGCGACTTATCTAGCCTAGGAAAGCGGCGTTGATACAAGGCCAACCAACGAGTGGCGCCCGCGGGCGGAATACCCCGGCGGACCTTGTGTCGGGCCCCTAACAATCAAAAGTTCTGCTCTGCATTTTCAATATCCGCTGCGCCCTCCGCTCGGCTTTACTGCCCCGCCACGAACGCGGCTACCACTAGTCTCGTCCCCAGCCATTCTAGCGCGCCCGGACTTCGCCGGTCGGAGACTGCGTCGGACATCAATGGTGATGTGCAGTCTCTCGCTAGAATGTCTGGTCCACTTGGATCATCCGGGGGGGCCTCATTCGCACGTGATCTACACGCTCCCTGAGGAAGTGACCGCCTGCGCACCGCCAAGTTGCTGGTGATGAGTAAGGCGTTCGTGTATGCAGTCAGACATATATGTAAAAGTGCCTCTGATATATTCTTGAGTACATTTGTGTTTTTATAAGCCCCCTGCAACGGAGAGTACCACTGCAGCCCAAATAGCCGCCAACGGCAGGCTACGGGCGCGGTATGTGTGCGCGTCAGTCACGTGCGGACGAGACCCCCCCGGATGATCCAAGTGGACCAGACGCTCTAACGAGCCAGTGCAC